CCTCGCTGCAGCCAGCACTGCCTCGTGCTCTGCCCTCTGTGCTGAGCAGTGCTGGGGGCTCCTCGGGATGCACCTGAGACCAGGTGGCAGTCTCATCAACTCGTCCACAGCTTCTCTTGTTCCTGTGATCAGCCCGTGCTTTGGATCAGGGCGAGTGCTGCCCATCGGCTGAGGCTGTGCCGCCTGGGGGTGTGGGGGTGCCTCTGGGGACTTGGAAGTCATCTCAGCAGCCAGCGCTAAGGCAGTAAGCCAGCAGGGACTGGGGTGGGCAACGTCTGCTGGCTGACCTCAGGCCCAGTCTGCACGTTCACCCATCCTGTAGGAAGGCATCAGGACCCCTTGAGTCCCTGGAGTCGGCTTCGGTGGAGGGGATCAGCCGTGGTGACTACTGCTACAGCACTCTGACCAAGTAATGGTGTCAGATGCTGTTGCTGGTACAGAACTGGTTTTGCAGGCTTCTTAAAGTGTTTATAAGTGGTAGGCTTTATGGAGATTTAAATATGTATTCAGGCAATAACACTGGTGAATAAAACAGATTGAGGATTATGTGGCAGTATGGTTTCCATATGCTGCCAGAATATTCTTCCTCTTGCATGCTGGAAGGGATTTTCAGTGAAGCCTTAAGAGAGCACCTCCTGCTTTTTCACCTGGTATTCCAGACAGCTGTGTCCTAGAGGAGCAGTGTAAGCCTGCCCTGCACCATCTGTTCAGCCTTCTTCAGCCCGGTGAGAAGCATTGCTCTGATACCTGAGCTACTGGAGAGTGCTAAACCCTTCAGACATTCCTGTAGTGAACACAGCTACAGCTCAGAACAAAACATTTTTTTAACCCCACTTTGTCTCCTGTGACTAAAGCTCTTTTCTATCACTGTAACATTATGTGCTATCTAGAAACTGATTTTTTTCTTTCTACTTCATTACTACTTTTGCTGGCTTTGCTGTATTTCTTAAAATTCTTGACTTGAGATGGTTCATCTGCAAATGGATAAAAAAGTTTCCCTTAGCAAGGGAAACTTTTGAGCATATGGGCAGGTGAAAGAATTGAGAAGTGTTTCCAGTTCTTGTGTATTTTCACTGATACTTGGGGTGTTCACATCAACAAGGTTAAACTTCTCAGAACATACCTGGAGTAATGGAATTGAGTCATTAGATGTCTGCTTCAAGTCAGGCTACTCAACTTCTGTTTCTGTCTTGCAGAATGGAGATGTATGTATTTCAATTCTTCATCCACCTGTAGATGACCCACAAAGTGGAGAGCTGCCCTCTGAGAGGTGGAACCCTACCCAAAATGTCAGGTAACTGTGACTCTGATGTAGAATGGTGACCTCAAAAGCCTGTCGTCCCACTCAAAGACTGTGGCCTGTGATGGGAGAGGTTTGGAAAAGACGTGGAGGGTTTTAGGGCTTGAGTTGCATGAGAATGAGACTTGCCAAGCTATCTGGAGATACTGGAGTGCTGTGTCCTGTCACTGGGCTAACAATGTGGAACCTTCTGTCCTGTCTGCAGGGTTTCATGCTCTTAAAGAAAATAACCTCCAGTGTTCTAGCCTTTCCCAGTCCATGTTATCCCAGACTTAGGTTGTATCAAAGCACCTCGAGATACCACTAGTGGAAAGTAACATTTCTGAGTATTCAGGCCCAGCAGGAGCAACTTGGTGTGTAATCCTGCCTACTGCTTACCTTCCAGGATCTGTCACTGTCTCCTGTTGGAGCATGGTGTCTTGAGCAGTTATCCAGGTAGTTTTCTTCCTGCCAGAAAAGCCACAGGATCACAAGGTACTAGAGGCATTCAGGACTAACCTCTCCATTTTTTTCTTTTTTGAAGTACCATCTGAATTTCATTTTCATTACAAGATACTGCCAAACTGACAAAGTGACAAACCTCAGCTCATAGTTAGGAAACAGCTTTGGGGATTAATTACCTGTCACACACACATTCTGAGTATTTAATTATATACAACTCTGAAGGTTGACATGAAACCTCTCATGGTGTATGTATTTCAGTAATCAAAATCCTCTAATTTCTGCCTTCCCTTGCCATGGTGCAGTTTTTGTTGCTTACTCTCTTGGAAGGTGTTGGGCTTAAGGGTGCCGTTTGGGGAGGAAACATTCCTCAGCTGTATCAGCAAACAGAAATAAACTTGTCCTTAGCTGCTGGCCCATTAGGCTGAGTGCCAACAGGAACACAGCGTGCTGGGGTCCCCTCTGGCTTTGCAGGGATCCGGAGCATCAGGAGGCAGCAGGGCTGGGGGTGTGGGGGGGAGTGTGTGTCTGATGAGCTGCCTGTGTAACCTTGAGCTTATCTTCAGCTGCTGAACGTTGCAAGTCCTGCTGAGCATTGACCATTTACTGCAGATAACTGTGGTTTAAGTGTCTGAAGGGGGGAATGACATTCTTCAACTCTGGGAGCACCTGTGCTTCCACCTCTCACTGTGTCAAAAGCATGCTCATTAACTCTTTGAGCACAGTCAGTATGGATTTTCCCATCACTCTCAGCTAGATGGGTCAGGGACAGGTAAACACAGCAGACATCCAGCAAGATGTGAAGGAATGCAGCTGAGACCTGTGTGACAGAAAATGCTGCTTTTCTCCTTGTGTCTCAAGTCCCATAAAGATGAGCAGGTGGTGGAAGAGCTTAGGACAGAGGCTTTTTTATCATTTTCATTGCCCTTCTAGCTATCCACCCTGTCTCTTCTCTGGGCTTTGAGCTGCCTGGGCCAGAACTGAGCACAGTATTGAAGATGTTGATACATCTGTATCTTGTGAAGGCAGGTGATGTTATGCCTCTCTGTTGCTTTTTTTCTGGGGGATGGCTTTATTGGCTACCTAAGATATGGATAGTTCTTCAACTAGCTTCAACACAGCCTAAGCAAAAACATTTTACGTAATACTTGAGAGCAAAAATGTGCTAGGACAAGTCTGTACATACCTCTAAGGGTGGTTCTGAGAGGCTACAAAGTGGATAGGAGCTGGAACCAAAAAAAATATACTGTTTTTCCACAGGATATCTAACAGGATGTCCTGGTTGGGAGCACCAGCCAGGCTCTAGAATGTCTGTTTTGGATAATATTAATCTGTCTGAGCCTTCTGTTGATATGTGGAGAGAAGGCATTGGACAGGTCTATTCCTTGAATCTCTGCTGGCTGCTCTCCCCTGGTGGGGAAGGGGTGTGGAGGGACTCACTCAGAAGACAGCACACTGTGAACACTTCAGCCAGCTCACTGTTCCCAGAATGGGGTGCAGGAGGTGAGAAGGCAGAAGGCAGGCTTGAAGTCCACACTCTTCATGCAGTCAGCTTGCACGAGTGCCCTGAGACAGATCCCCGGCAGCGCTGTGTCCTGCCCAGCACCCTTCCTCTCTGCTGCAGGGGGTGCTCTCAGCCTCACCTGGGCCAGCGTGGCTGTGGTTTGGGCCCTGTGGATCCCCTCCTGTTACTGTACCTCACCCACTGCTTACCCCATGGCAGCAGGGTCTGAGGCAGAGCAGACTGTCCAGCTCCTAAGGAATCAGCAGCGATGGGGCTGATCTGATGTGCCAGTTGTGAAGGAAAAGCATGGAGAGCCTCACCTCTCATGAAGACAGCTGCCTTGGTGTGTTTAAGTTGCTTTGCAGGTCTAGGGCACCCCACTGGAAACTGGATTCTCTTCACTTTGTCGATGGAAGCATGGTAGAGCAGATGCTAAATCCAGACACAAATGCTTCCTGTGCTCAGCCTTGCCTGGACTTTGCTGGCTGTGGTGATGCTGGAGCTGACATGGTGGCTTGACAGCTCATTTGCTGTGAATCCGAGACTTTTATTTGAGTTCTTGAGATGAAGTAGGTGGTGATCTCTTTTCTGCCCATCATTCTAGTCTAACCAGACTTTTTTTTTTTCCTAGAGCTGCTGTTCTCTTTTCCTACCAAATTACATAATTTTGAAAATAAATTGTGTAAAACTCTTCTGATAGCCATGCTGAACAATCTTGGCCAGGCACAAGTGTTTAGCTTCAAAACCTTTCAAGAAACTCAGCATCCAAATGACCAAGCATTTCCCAGAATTGTATCCCAGATATATGATCTAATAGATGTGCTTGGCATGCACAGCTCTGAATGTGCCCCTAAATCAATGCAAGTGCAGCTGGGGCTGTAGTCTCCCTTAATCAAGTTCAGCAAAGCAGTTGCTATGTGCTGGTGTATTTCAAGACTTATTCCTTGTCTCTTGTTCCCTTCCATTTAAATCAAAAGCTGTGCCCAGCAGGACCATCTGAAGCACATGAAGCTGTTGTGGTGGTGGCTGGGCACGTAGAGCTGCCTGATGGGACCTGCTGTTGAGTTTTGTGCTACTTGTGGCACTGTGTAAAGAGCAAAGGGCTGAATCTCTGGAGTCCCAAAGGGCTGTAGGAGATGCAGGAGAAGGGTCTGGGTGAGGTGGCGTTTGCCCCAAGAGCAAGGCGGGGTGGGTAGCTGCTGTGCTGCTGCTAGAAATCCAGGGAGGCAGACTGTCTGTCTGTCTGCTGGGGCTTG